GGGTCTGACAGGGCCGAACAGAGCACATTATTAAGTATTACTTGTCAGAGATACAGACTAAAGGAAGGCTTTCTAAAACACCCTGCCAGGCAGGGCCATTTATTTGCATTTACTATGAAAACATACAAGGTCACACAAGATTAACTGAAGCATGGAAATTTGAGCATTTGCTTTATAATCACACAAACGGACTCCCATCATCACCAGTTGTTTTTTTGTTGTTGTTCTTTTGAAGATAAAGCCAAGAAAAGAAGAGCAATAGAAATGTCAATCTTGTTTTTCTGTTAACATTAGATACACAGTAGAACCATCTTTACTAAATGCAATGCACAACAGTAAATTATCAGCAATTATGCGAGTCTGTGCCGTGGCCTGTCTGTGTTTGTCTGCAATGCACTGCTTAGCAAACACTCAAACCACAACAGACAAGCCAAGGCTGTTTCCATAAATAAAGAGAACTTTTAAAAAAGAAAAAAAAAATCAAACTGAAAATAATACCCAAACAAAAAAAGTTGGTTCTCTTCATGTGTCTCCTTATTTGGACCTAGAGTGGAGCTATACTGGTCAGCTAAGCCAATTTAAAAAGGTACTGGTCTCTGGTTACTCCGGTGTGCAACACTGGGTTCATTGCTTGGCTCATGGGTTGACTGGAGAGAACATCTGGACTCACATTTTGTCGACACTCTGTTGTATGAAGACGACATTCTTCACTTATATGACCAAATCATCAGATCTAAGCTTTGATAGGCCCTAACAGTGAAATACGGAAGTACTGAGAAATGTACACAACAATGACGTTTGGTTGCTGGTCAACGCACTGAAGAGTCTCAGCTACGAGGTTCAGTTTGTGCTAAAAATACACAGACCTCAAACTAATTGCTATCTAAAGATCAACACATTCTAAGGCAAAAGACAACAGTACATTTCTTCCAAACCCAGACACGTATGCACACACACTGCTGAACAACATATCTGAGATAGGATTAACATGAAAGGAATGAGGAACCAGTTTCTGAACTGCAAATGCAGCTTGTTAAAACCTGATGCCCTGAAGTGTTTCCAATTACATGGAAGTGCACAAAAGGGGAAGACAGACTCTGGTATTCAGTTTAGGCTTCAAATGAATTCAGTGATTAAAAGGGACCACACTGGTCATTGTGGAAACACATTTCTCTTGAATGTGAATCCACTTGATCAACACAACATCAGCAACGAACGAGTCACACCCTGAGGAGTCTCTATGATGTGATGAATGACCAGGGGGACCTTGCTTTGAGGATGGGTCTATTTTTCCTTTTCTTAACTGCTTAAGAAACCAGCTTTTATCACTAATGTTGATGACAGTGTAGTAGAACAATTGTGCCCTTTATTTCAGCTGAGTAAAGCATATTTCTGTTGTTGTGACTAGCTCTGCAGCACGGTGCAAAGAGCTACGACCTGCATACAGGTCCTCAGTTCTACACTCTTCACAACCCATGAGCCAAGTTGGTTCCTACACCCGACATAAACCACTGAAGCACAGAGTGGATCACAACCATTTTAATAAGCCCCTAGTGCCACTCCCATCCACTCCCACACCACCTACTCCTCGCAATCCTTCCTGGGTGGGTTGGCTTTGCGTTTCAGTATTCCAAAGTCCGTGGTAGTGGGTGTGGTGGTTGTGAAGGGGTCTAACCCTGGTGTGAACATCCCTCCTCCACATAGTGTGTTTGTAGAATGTGGAGTCCACTAGCTGGCTCACCTGTGGGTGGGGGGAGGGAAACATCGCCCTTCAACACCAGCTCCTCTCACTCCTGGGCTATGCTCCTCAGCACATATTTGACTGTGTAGGCAAACGCTGCAAAGCCTACAATCACAAACAGGTTGGCTAGAGCCCCACCTAGAAGTCCATGGTTACGATTGGCCTGCTGCAGGCCAGGGGCGGGGTTGGCACCCCCAAGTGGAATGGGACCTCTGTTGAGGACGGGGAGGCCGTAGTGGGCATGCTGTGGGTCACCGTCGGGCACCACATCAGGTAGGGGGAGGGGCTGAGTGCGAGCGGTTAACTCTTCCTGTGCCTTCTGTTTCTGCTTCATTTCCTGTTCGGAGTGACAGGAGAAAATGAGAACAGGAAGCACAGAAAAGAAAATTAAGTTTGAGATGATCCCATACTTACATCGACTACATCAGGAAACAGCTCGCAGAACACTTTATCCTTGAGGTTGAAGGCCAAGCTTTGGGCTGACAGCTGTCTTTTCTGGAAAAAGTAAACATGAACACACATGAATTATCTGAGATGACAGGTCATTCATGTCAATGTTCTGCAGCTACTGTATGTTCATTTGTTTGTGCTCACTGTGTAGTCAGAGGTCTCGATGCTCCCGAGAGTGGGCCCCTTCTCTACCATGAAGCTGAGTAGACCTGTGAGGATTGTGGAGACGGACCACGCAGGGTTCCATGTGTCTGGATGGAAGTCTGTGATGGACAAACATAACCTGTGAAGGAAACAGGCAAAGTTACAAAAGAGGAGCAAAATGGTAAGCACGCTTGGAAACAACGACCAACTGTAATTTATAAAAATTCTTAAAATGCTGCATTATTCAATTTGACAAAAAGATCTTACCTTGTATTACACTTAAACCTCCCATTTGGAGTTATCATATAGATACTTGGTGGTTTAAAAGGAAACTCCCGGGGAAATATAAGTTTTCCGTGATAATATCCTCCTAAAAAAAGACAGACATTATGGCTTTTGCTTTTTTCCATTACATTTTATTAAACTGATTAATTAAATAATCCACATAACAGTGTACAACAACCCCACAACACACAAAAACAAAACAAATGAACTGAAAAGGGAAAACAAACCCCTCCAGTCTAGAATAGCTTCCCTATCCACTGATCAATCAAATATTGATTATTGTGGTGTATGCCACCACAGTTCTAAGATTACAGAAGCTTCTACATAAAGGACTACTAACCTTTGAATAGTAAAGTCCTTAGATTGGTAAATAGTCTAAAAAGGGTGACCAGATTTTCAGAAACAGCCCATCGTCCCCTTTCAGCACAGTCTGTATTCTTTCATGAGGTAAGGTATTTAGAATCTTTCTGTACCATAAAGTGATATTCAGATTCAGACTCTGACAACTTTATTGATCCCAAGGGGGCTCAATAATTAGGTGGAGCAGTCTCCATCCATCTGAGCAAAATACAATTAAAAGGAGCTCATCAAGAAGTGTATAATGTAAAGTAAGGGAAGAAGCAGTTCTCTGGAAGGTAAGCCTAAAATGTGAGTCAGATGGCGCCTACATGGTGACCCATAACTACTTGACATACCAGAGATCGGCAGATATCAACTTGCCAAAAATAAATAAATAAATAAAAAAAAAGGTCATTACCAAATGCTACCTGTCAAGTGTTAGTGAACTGTCGGTGGGTTTTACCTTCATATGGAGTTTTCTCAGGACCTCTGACTACATAGTGCCTAGAGCAGAGAGGAAAGGTTTCTGTTAGCCAGGTCAAATATAAAGCAGCTTCCAGGCTTTCAATGTCTTAACATTACAAAGAACCTTTGATGCCCATAGACAACAGCCCTCATTCAATATGTGTGTAGAAATGTTCTTACCTTGTGCACAAAATAAGTGCCCATGAAAAATTACCATCAGATTCATGACGTGCTCCCTGGCCAATTTCACTCCTATCACCATGTGTACATTAGTAAATCAGAATCATTCTAAAATGATAGGTGCATGCCCGCAGTTTGTAATTAGCATACTACGAAATCCCCATTCCTCCACGTCAGGAAATATGTTTACCTAGAGGTGTCTTGTGGAGAAAGCGGCTTAGTTGCAAGAGATAAGCAGGACAGGACAGCGCCCCAAGGTGTGGCCAGGGGGCCATGACCACCATCCTAAAATTAAAGGCCACCCTGCTAGCATCCCCACAAATGACAAGCCCCAGTCATTCTAATTCTTGCAACGCCCTTAAAAATCAAACATGCATTTAAGACAGAACACATTTGAATTTGCATTAACCACAACTGATAATTAACGATTCCTTGGCTCATCTCATATCATCATCTAATATTCATAGGAGATCGGGCAAGGAATTAAACAATATGCAATTTATTCTACAGTATAATATTGCATTTCTACCTTTCTATTTTTAGGTATTAGGGTGTGCCGCCCCAAGGTTTTCACTGGTCCTATCTGGCACCCCAACTAAATATTTTCTGTAGGCACCACTGAAGGGCAGGATTTTGACCCCGAGAGCAGTGTGGCTGAAGACTACGATGCCGTTCCAGGGTATTGCAAAGCTGCAGTAAAAGCTGTCGGGAACAGCTGAGAAGCCATTTGAATGGGCTGCAATATCTCTCAAGAAGGCTCCATATGCCATCTTAACACTTGCTTGGAATTAAATTGGAATCATTCATATTTCTGGCATGCTTTTATTAAATAGGCTGCAAACTAACCAGGAGGCTACTAGTTAACACTGGCTATGTATGCACAATTTTATGGTACTAGAAATTGGTAGGAGCAGTCGATCACTATGGGTTATCGACCATTACGATTGATGAGGAGGAAGGATTTAATTTTGTGGTTATTTAATAGGCTACATTTGGCCAAAGCATTAGTAAATTAATAGTTTGCCTTAAATTAAATTATATTTGCTATTAAAGCCTCCATCACTTGTTCATACAGATGGTCCGAGGCAGTTCTAAATTTCTCCGCAGAGTGCGAACAAATTTAGGTAAAAAATAGATAAACCCGGATCTGAGTGCAAATTGTTTATATGTGTAGTTTAAGTACAAATTTGTGCATATGCATTGTTTGTGAATGTGGCCCAGTGACTTTATGAATCTTTGTCCTCTAGATCTACAGTATGTGCTATAAGTAGCCAAGAATCAAAGTGTACTAAAGTGTTTCTTGTTTCTTTTCCATTGTCTTAAACATTTTCAGGTGTGTCCTTGTGTCTTGTGTGGTTAAGATGCATATCACACAACTAGAGCTGCAAGTGGCGATTATTTTTCCTAGTGATTAATCTGCCTGCTATCTTCTCAGTTAATCATTTGGTCTGTACAGTATCCATCATCAAAGATCTTCAACAAGCAGGCAAAAACCCAATAATTTTAACATTGTCATAATGTTACATTCGGCATAAGCAGTGTAGCTTCACATTACAGGACCAGGGATCTACATAAAATGCAACCTTTATTTGCAGATTACAAGAACTATATCTGTAGTCTATTCATAACGCAAAGTCAGGAATGAAAGAGACCGGGTTTTCTGTTCAAACTACCTGGAATAGATAGAGGAGCGTAATTTAGCACACTTCACATGTCAGACACACAAAGCTGCTGCAAACCACCACTGATGAAAAGAGAAATGACTGCACAACTGGGATTAAAGCAAATAGGATGCAGAAGAAAACCCAATTATGGAATCAAATATCTCTAGCCAAATTTAAGATGATTGGTTGTTTCAGTTCTTAGCTACATTTAGCCACTAGGTATCTATTTTTATTCTTCTACCTGTCTGAATTGATTTTTCTATGACATTTTGACCACAGTCTTCCAACAGGACCTAACTAATCAATCATGTCTAACACAACAGTCTGAAATCTCCCATAGGTGTTCAGCTGGGTTCAGATCTGGAGATCATGCCTTTACAATGCAGGAGTGGGATTTTAAAATACAAACCCCAATTCCAGTGAAGCTGGGAAATTGTGTAAAACGTCCAAACAAAATACAATGACTTGCAAATCCTTTTTGACCCATATTTAATTGAATACACTACAAAGACAAGATATTTAATGGTCAAACTGATCAACTTCATTGGAATTGGGGTTTGTTAATAAAGCAGTGTGTGTCTTTATTGTTTCTTGAGACAATGTCCCAGTTACCCATCACCCATTTCTAATTGAACCACTTTCTACTGTGTTCAATCAACACCAAATCTGGAAACGTGGTACAATTGACTTTTTTTTTATTTAACCATTCAGTGCTGTCTGCACTGCTCACAGATTACTTGGTCATAGAACACTAAATCTATGTGCTATGTGTAAAGCAATATTTTAAAAAGCAGCCTAAAATACATATTACTTGGTGTAAGACAAGTGTTTTTCCTTTTGTATTAATTTACAATCACCATGTGATCTTGTCTTCCTGTGAACAACTTACCATTCTAGGATGTTGGAGGGGAGGGGTTCTGCGCAGATGTAAGGCACGGGGTCTTTCTTTATCCTGAGATAATCCTGCTTAAGTCGCTGAGTGGCTGTGGTTGGAGCTCTCTTATTCCCGTTGTTGTTCATCTGAAGACCCAGAGCACAGGCAAAAGGGAGACACTGAAAAGTGGTGTCTATGATCTCCAAATGTGTTATTGTGACGCACAAACTCAAACTCTATTTACAATGCTTCGTATCAGCTGTTGATTTTGTGAAACTGCAGAGAGTAAACATTACATAATTACAGAGCTTTCAAAAGTTACTTTTACATTTTAAAGATAATTTCATATGTAGCTACACAGATATCAATGTATGACACATGGTAGCAGCAACTAATGTGCTATGTAGCTTTGAGCTCTGCAATTCAGTTATTTTAACACAAGAGGTAAGCCTACACCTAATGACTGATTTGCAGATTAATACGTTAATGAATTTTGTCTGCAAAACAACAATAAGTACACAAAGTCTTTACTCTTCTAAAAATGCAAACAAGCAGCAGAATCTCTCATTAAATAAACTGTAACCACAAATTACAATTATTAATCTCATCTAATTGACAGTTTATTCAAATAACTGCTTCAGCTAGTTGTAGACTCAGCTACCAGACACTAACTAGCTTACCAGGGGCAATTTAACTTAGCATTTTTCTGAGCTCATCCTCTGTTTTGCTTGGAAATTAATAATAATGAAACACTGATAATAATCTGCAAAGTCAACTAAATGCAGCTAGCCTGAAGCCCATATTAATTAAAGGCAAATTAATTCATCTGTCTCATGAGATTACATTTTAGACCTGTGCTTTACCTTATTCAGTTTTAGCTCACAAACAATAAAATACTACATTTTTGGCTTGCAATACAATTTAATCTCCCATATGATGTTATTATATACCTACCTGGTTGTTTACATTTAGCTGTATTCGTTTAAAATCACGTTTAAATGTATGCAATACAGATCTTACACAATGAGCCAATTAACGGATTTGTTGATGGACAGAAAATTATTCTGCTGCGACTGTGACAATATAAAATTAGTCATTTTTAAGCAAAAATGACAACATTTGCTGTTTCCAGGCGGATATCTTTGGCTTCTGGACTGCCGGTCAGAAACAAAAACAGACATATTATATCACCTACAATAATATACCCCCGAGCTTAGTCTTTAACTTTTCCTAATTTTCTTTTCTTACTGTATGTAAAGCACACTGAATTGCTTTAATGCTTGATTGTGCTCTACAAAACTGTGCAAAATGTCAATTTAAAACGTAACAATTAAAGTCCCAAGTCTTAAAGGGGAAATGCGTAAAGTAATAGCATTTTGAAAGCGTACTTTTAGACACAAAGTTACAGGTTATACGAAATGGATTTAAACTTAAAACTTTTAACCGACTTTCCACTTCATCCCACAAAACTCAAGACAACTTTATTCGCCAAGCGCACTACTGAACTACTGGCATGTGGCTAACAGCTGCATATATCGTTAATGCTAATGCAATGCACATGAACTGTAATGGTAAAAAAGTATGTCAACAGTACTTCCTTATAAATAACAGGCTACACAACGACACTGCTAGCTGAGGCTAATCCCCTTTTTCAAAGCTACGCTAACTAAACGGATCAATAAGTTAGAAAATTAACGTTACTCAACCGCCGACTGTAACCATACAGTGCAGACCTTTACAGTTCAGAATGCCATCATATGTGGCTGACCACTTTATTAATCACAGCGTATCAAAACTGTCCGGTCAGGCAGCCAGAATCACTCGACTAACCCTGATAAGACAGCGTGTACAGCTGGTGACACGTCCTATCTGTGTACCGCCAAAGCGGCTAACCATAGCTAACCCAGGCCACAACAATGTTTAGCGTTAGCAGCGGCTAGCATGAGTTAGTGCTGAGACTAACGACAGCTGACTAACGTCCCTCGTTTTCATATACTACAGAATGTGTGGTACAGACATACCTCTCCAGAGACCCCAGTGAAAAAAGGTATTCGTGGCTGGACACGAAATAAGGCTCTTGTTTCTTGTATCAACCCCCAATCCGATTAGGACACCGCCGTAGCTTTAGCTATCACCGAAAGCAGGAAAAGTTACACTTCCGGTTTTCTTCTTCATAGGCTCTGAAGAGGTTGAAAACTATCTAACAAAGCGCATTACTGCCGCTAGCCGATCTAAAATATTGTGCCTAATTATAATCTTTGAAATGTCCGATAAAATCTAATAAATGTCATAAAAATCTTTATAATCACAAAAACACATGCTTACATTTGTAGTCTATTGGTCAGAACAACAGGCCCAATACATTATAAAGTCTGTCTCTGGGAATTCTTCGGAGGAATTTTTCTGCAGCTTCTCATAGAACAGCTTGGAGGTCCTCTTGCTGATGTTTTATGCTGCTGCATAAAGTTTTATTGTTGTTGTTGTTAGCCAAAGCTTATGAGAAAACTGAAATGTGACCGTTTTAAGATATTTATTTTATTTAAAATTTGCAAAAAGTTTAAAAATCATGTCATCTGAGAGTTACAGTTGTCAAAATTAAATTAGCCTACACAAAACTTTAAAAGGTTTACATCACTGATTTTACATCGTTTTGTTAACTCATCACAGAGAGTATGATTAAGCCTGTGGAAACATTTGTGCAATGTTGTCTTTTCAGTAGTGTGGAGAGTACAAATTTTAGGGGGAATTGAGTTGAAAAGAATGAGCAATTAGTAGGCAGGGAGAATCTAATAAAATATGTTTTTTATTACATTATGTCAGATGTAGGATCCAGTGTTCTGGGGTGTTAACCATAGGCCTACCTGAAAGTAGAAGTCAGGCTCTGTTTCATCTTTGAAGCCTCTTTTTAAATATAGGCCATGTCAAGTCACTGATGTAAGTGAAATACTAAATTGTTGGTGTGTCCCTTTAAAAACAACATGGTACATCTGCAGATTTTCTGACATACTACATCAACTCTGCTGTTAATTCATTGCCATTACCAAAATTAGTGTCAGGTCAACTGAAATAATATTTGTGCAAAGGAACAGTTTGAACTAGGCTACAATATACTGTATTTTGACGTGAGTGAGGTTTATCATGTTGGCCTTGCACCTGCAGGATTTGACCATGTACTCCAGGAGTTTTCACTCCACAGCATCAGAACATCTTTTTATTGGAATGTAAAGTGAGTGAAGAGTAGTCAGAAGAAGTGGCGGCCAGCAGGAGTCATTATGGCTTCACACAGCAGCTGAACTGTATGCTCCTTTTCCTCAGCTTCTCGGGCTCGAGAGACGCGAGGAGAGAAAACTCGCGAAAGACATCAGTGCAGGAGATGTCACCTGCAACATGGGATATTGAAGTTAAGGGGACTGTTGTCTCATAGCTGACAGCACTCTAGAGACTGCAGCAACCAACCTACTGTTTGTTGCTTCCCTTTAACTTCAGTAAGTAACAAAGTCAGTATTTTAAATGACATGACATTAAGGCAATAAGCCAACAAATACTGGAATCCCACTGACTCACCTTTCACTACTCAGGAAGAAAGCCAAACCTCTGCTTTATAAAACTATGAAAGAGCAAAGCCCCCAAAGCCTCAAGAGAGTGAAGCTCCTCAGTCTAGCTCAGTAGTACATACAGTATACACCTCTTACTTCGGGATAACATTACCAACTTTTTTTCTTTAAAACATCTTTTGTTTTTACATCAATCCTTTGTGGATATTAGATGTTATGTTGTGTTTTGTGTATATTTTTTGGAAAGATTACCCTTCTAGATGAGAGTTTTGGTTTGTTTGCAGAGCAGAAAACGTGCAGAGTGGTGAGCATCCTGTCCATTTCTCTCCTGCAGCACCAGGGGCTCCTCTGTCCTCTCTTATACCAAGTAAATTCATCTGCTTAATATTCTGACTTACTGTTCTCTGTCTCATGCATAGTGAACATTTTGGGAGCATAACTACACATTTCCAAATGTATACAAATGCTGCGCTGTAGCTCAGTCTTAGGACACCTTCTTAGGACACCGAAGATTTCTGTGTACTCCCAAATGCATCATGCAATACAACATTAAGACAGCTAGAAATATTTTCCCAGAGAGAGCATGACCATGACAGTAAGAGCGACAGACCAAGACACCTTAAAGATCACCCACAACCATCAAAGCAGAGGCAATCACAGTATGACAGTTGTCCCCTAATTAGACGGCCCAGGATGCTTCACTCACTCTATCCCGAACATCCTTGGATTTAACTCTCCTGCTGCCTGTGGCAACCCCTGTGGTAAGAGAAGCAGTGATATGTCAGTCATTGTTTATTTCTTTAAGCGGGCATGTGTTGCTTGATTTTAGTGTAAGCTCAGGTAATAGTGATTATGAGACCACAAAAATGTTCTGCACACTGGAGACACTGAATTATTCAAGGCACTGTGTTGTTGCTGCAGGCTAGAAACCAAAGCACTTTTTAATACCCATAAGACCCCAAACATTAAAATACAAAAAAAAAAAAAAGGAATCTCTCAATCTTCTTAAATAGTGTGCTGACAGTCCGGAACTTACCCATTTTCACATCTCAGTTATATTTATTTTCCTTAAGATTGACCACATTATTGCTTTGAATAAGCCAAGTGCTATGCTAAAGTTTGTTACAGACCAAAAGACGCATCAGGATAGACTGTAAAAAAATAGCATTCTCCCAACATTTGGCAATATTTCAACACACCTAGATACTTACAAATTACCATCAATTAAATTTGAGCAACAATCTTCTGTAAACCCTTTCAAATATATTTCTGCAATGTTGAGAGAATGTTACAAAACAAGAGATGAGGAAATAGAAATGAGAGCAAAAAGCAGGAAGCGGGGTTAGTTCATCAAGAGTTTCTCAATTTTATTGTATGCATTTTGTTTTCTTTTTGTCCCCTCAGTGCCTCTGAAGACAAGGAAGAAAGTATTCCAAAGATATCCAAATGTCAGTGAGCAGAAGAATGTCTCAAAGTAGTGCAGTATTGTGTTACAGTTCTGCCTGAAAGGTTGTGTTTCAGAAGAGAATTAAGTGAAGGAATGCTGAGAGGCATGAAGTTGGCATGTTAAGTTAAAATACACAAGTGTATTATTTACAGCATTTGCTTTGAATAGCAACTTTAACCACTCCTATGTCAATACACACAATGGACACAACATTTAATAGGGTGAGGACCCATAACAGTTTGGTCACAGTAGCTTCACATCACCCCCTAGACTGGTTCTACTTGCAGTACATCAATCTATTGCAGAATATGACCTGTCGTATCAAAACCTCTCAGGTCAGTCACATTTCTGTAACTTCTTTTGAGCATGTCAGTACACCAACAGTGTTTCTACCACTCAGTCACTTAACAAAGCATGGTAAGACTATATGATGCATCTACTCCGCACAGTTTCAGTTATCATACAATGTCACACACTTTCCCTTTAAAAAGTCTTTGGCAGAAGAAAATAAAACCACAACATATAAAAATAACAATATTACTGTTAGTTAGTGTTTGTGGACAAACATCAAAGAGAGAAATGAGGAAATCACCACAGATTTGGTCTGTGGATGGAAGAATGGCACAGATGTGCAACAAGGAAGAAACTTCGGACACCGGAGGGGTCATGGTGGTACATGCTTATTCCACGGGACAGCACTGTACGACATGATCAAACCATAGAAAACGTATTCTATCATGCTCATAATGCAAACGATGTTAAAACTTCCCAAAATTAATTCTGGCAAAGCATGCGGTGAACACTGTTCACATTGACCAGTGAAGGAAGCCAGATACTGTGATACACTCAGACCCCAAGTATTTGGACAGTTACTTATTGTTCTCCGGGCTCTCTCCTACTGCACATTCAAATTAAATAGTGGATACTACTTTAAGCTGCCAAGTCTGAGCTTACATCAATATAGAACCAAATGTGTGTGAATTTGTGTTTAAAACTGAATGTGCTGAAGCATAGAGGCTGAAAAAGAAAACAGAAACTAAAGCACAGCTATTGACATTCTGGACTGTATATCCCTTTGGCTCCACAGGTGTGTAAACTGTTCTAAGGAAATGTGCCCCAGAATGTCACCACACAGGCTACAATATGGATGAGTATTTACAATAAAATGGAGGTGTGGTTATATACCTATGTATCATCATTTGGTTCTGTAAATTCCAGTGAACAGAAGAACTGTTTAATGGTAAAACAGAGATCCAGTTTTTTTTTTTTGACTTCCTCACTACACTGCAAGACTTGGCTCTTGCAGCATTGCTTTGCCTGCACATCCCATTTACAACTTAGCAAAGTCATTAGTAACCAACTAATGACTGCAATTTGTTTGAAAATAAAGGTACATTACAGCTACAACCACAACCTAGTAAAATCTTTTTCAATGTTACCGACAGGTGACAAATTAAAGAAAAAGCCTAAATGCCTGTCCTCTACAGTGAGGAGATCCGGTGGCTCTGTTATGCCGCCGGCATGGTTTGGGTCCACTGGTCCCCTTAGAGGGAAGGGTCACTGCAAATCAATACAAAGTTGTTCTGAGTGATCACCTTTACCCTGTGATGAAGCATACTAGTGGGAGTGGTCTCTTCCAGGAGGAGAGTGCCCCCATCCACAGGGCACAAGGGGTCACTGAATGGTTTGGTGAGCATGAAGATGATGTCACTCATCAACAGGCCCAAACAGAATCTGCACCCGCAGAATTCTGGCGATGCCTCTGTAGGGTTCTGGTGACAGGGTGATCCAACACCTTACTGAGACACTTATGCTGGTTTTTCCTTTAATGTGTCACCTGTCCGTTTATTTGAATGCCAATAATTTAAGGCTGTTCCAAAATGGAAATGAAAGCAAAACATTTTTTATGAGTACATACATGCAATCTAAAGACTTCCTGTCTTAAATTCCAAAGTAATGCTTTCAGATCAAAACGACAATCATCAACAAAAATGCAGATGAAACCTGCATCCAAGAATGCACTGCACTGCTCCTCAGTGGAGATAAATTAAAAACAGAAGTAAAATAGATAGACAATAACTCGAGTGGAAAAGAGCAGTGTAAAAAACACCACACTACCTAATTTAAAATAAAAATGATAATACTGTAGATGGGAAAAGTGCAGTTTCTTTTTCCTTTACATAACATCACATTATTTAATTCTATCTCTCAGAATTCGGACACATGCACTCATTTTTACTCTCCTGCTCACTCACATCACAGAGTATCTTACAAAGCAGGTGAGGGTCTTTTCCCCACAAGCCCTTCAGTATTTCTGTCACAGTTTTACATTTAATTTCCTTTCCTGGCCCCTCCTCATTCTAAGCAAATTACCCTGCCCACCTCTACTGTAGCTTATCAGTTACAGCTTTTTCTTTTAGTAATGAAACAAATACCATTGTTTTCACCTCATGCCACAGTACATAGTTTAAAGAATACCCATATAACTTCTAAATATCTCTATTTACATTTCCAATTAAGAAGCGATGGGTAAGCTGGATGTCACAGATGGTCTGTATAGATATCAAATGTAGGTGGTTAATGCTGCAAGAGTCTTCTGTGGTAAGAGCTGTTAGGCGACAGCAAACTCACACCCTCAGACAAGAGGTTACACCATGTTAAGTTTGAGGATAACCCTGTTAGCAGAACACCAAAAAGCAGATGCCATTTTACCGTGTGTGCATGTGCTGCAGCATAGCATAGCATGGGTGGTGCTGGGTAATGGCAAGCAGAAACATAGAAGTGATGCAAGAAATGGAGGTGGTGACTGCATCAATAGCAGAGTTAAAAAGGTCCATCAGGGGTCTCCCTATCACACAACGCATCCCCATAATGAACACGTGGCGCTCTCCTCTTTTCTCACAAGCCCCGAAGAAGTTGCCTGTAGGCCTAAATCTATGTAAGTAACAAACGTGATATCAGCGTCTAGGGGCAACTTCGTCTACACAATTATTTTATGTTCCCCGGTCAGGAAGAAAAATATATAGAGAGAGCAGGAGTTATGCTCCCAGATATAGAAGTGACAACTAGCATTCGTCTATTGTGAGGCAGATAAATTCCTGAATGCACTTCCTATACTGCTGCTCAGTAGGGCTGCTGCTGGGGTATTGACCTGGTTGACCCAGTGGAGCCTCGGCCTCTCGCATCTCCTCGTTCATCCGTGCTAGACGCAATCTGTAGAAGAGAAATGAGAATGGGAGAGGCCGAGGGAGGGAAGGGATATAACAGCAGAGAAGGACAGACATGGGAGCAGAAATAAGTAACAGGACAGTAAAAGGAAGGAAGGGAGGTGAGAAAAGAAAAGGAGTGAAAGGATTGAGTTGTTGAGGTGACAGGAGACAAAAGACAAAGTGGAAATGTAGTGAGAGAGGATGAGAGCAAGGGAGGGAAAAGAGTCAAGACAAAATTATGTCACCAACAATGAGCAAGACATCAGCTTTCATAATAACAGAAAACTAAATAATCTTGAGTGAAGGTCTACACACAGCACAGGCTCTTCTCTAGAGCTTTTCACTACAGCAGAGTTTGATTTGATTACATTAGCACAACATGACATGCACTCAAACATGAGTATTTGGCCATGCATGAATGTTAATCAGGAACTTGGGTACACATGTTAAAACACCATCTCAGGGCTAAGACTTAAGTGATTTACAGGGTGACGATGTCTGCGTTGGCAGCCTGGACAGCAATACTTAGGGGGTCATGACCCTGCTCGTCCACCTCTGTCTGTGATGCTCCTCTCTTCAGGAACAAACACACCTGACTGTACAGAACAAGACATAGAGACAGAAAAAAAAGAGATTAATACACAAGTTGGTAACACCAAAAATGAGAATGGTATAGTGTGATGAAACAATAAATGTTTATAGAATAAATACAAGTAGGATCACAAAAAAAAAATTTAAAAACTGATGGATCTGCCATTCATAGATTTTTTTTCATCATATTTGTCTGAGAAAGTGAAACCATAGGTCCTTCTGTGAGCGTGACACAGAGATCTTGTGTTTTTAACAGGGCTATGTTCTAAATGTTTTTCATTGCTAAAACCACACGTATAGAACAAGAAAGGTCACCTCTAAAAACGTAGCTGAGGGCAGTTTAAAAGGAAAATGCCCAACTCCAAAAACCCCACTTGGAATGATGTAAATATTTTGACTAAACTCTATTTGTGTTTTGCAACAGGTCTTGTTAATACCTACATTTTATTTTCATTTCACACAAGCTGAAACATGAGCCTGGGGTCACAGAGGAGGCAGAGACAGACAGTGTGCAACCTGTTCCCTGCACTCTGCAGGCTTTTCTTACCCAGTATGCCCCAGGTAGGTTGCATGGTGCAGCGGGCCCCTGCCTCTCATGTCCCTCTGGTTCACATCAGCTCCGTTCTGTAGCAGGAACTCACAAGCTATCAGAGAGCCCTGACAGAGAGACAGATGGACACAGAGAATTGTTTATTTGAGAAGAATGTATTTTACTGGTTCCATATCCTTTTCAGCTAATTTTAAGAAAACATTCCTCGTAATTTCCTAAACATGAGCTAAATTTAGATGTAAATTACAAGGATAGTTCCAAAAATAGTCTTATGCAAATCAGTAGTACAAAAAGGAAAAATTCTGAAGAGTGTCTTTGCTTAGTGAACTAAAGTAAAAATGAGAAACGTGCTGTTTGGACTCAAAGGTCACACTGCATAGAAAAACATATCCAAAGCAAACTGAGCCCTGAGGTATAATGATAAAAATCCATTACTGCTTACATGACTGACACCAAAGTGCTAAGAATTCTTATTAGTATCTCTCTGATGGATACTGACGTATGTTTCTGAACTTTTTAAAAACATTCCTCTCACTTAATCAAAATTTAAATAACCAGTCAGTCAGAACAAACTCTCTCACCCCGATCACAGCCTGTATGAGTGGCGTCTTCCCCTCCTCCTCCTCGTTTGCAGCGTGTATGTCAGCACCATGTGCCAAAGCCTCTGCCATGAGTGGCAGGTTGTGTAGACGGGAGGACTGGCGGAGAAGCGCCCCAGGGTGTAGCTCCCTCAGGTCCTCAGGGTCTGAAGGCACTTCCTGTTCGATCTCCACCTCACCACTGGAAGACTCCTCCGACTCCTCTGAGGGTAGGTAGGTGAAACGGGACATCAGTGATGTAAATGGAATAGTTTATGCCTTCAGAACTCTCAGAAGGGAGTTAGCATGGTTTCATTAAAGGGATAACACCAGTGTTGTTATAAGCTTGTCCAGGTCTTTACTTTATCAACCAGAGCGTTTTTCCTCCTCTCAAAAGAACATATTTATAGTCCAGTTAATTTAAACCCTTAATTCAGTTTTCTAACTTTGGGAACAATGAGCGTGTTCACATCTGTACACACTGTCACAGATGTCTCAGTGAACCAAAGAACATAACTAGAATTGACTAGAATTATTATTGATTGAATTGACATTATGTCTATGTTTTCTTGGTGATCCTGCAGTCAATTTTGCACAGAAATATACATTTTGAACACAAAACACATGAAATACTAAACATAATAACATTGCTACATTGTACAGTGATGGGAGAAAATGGGAACCTTGCTTCTCTGGCAGTCGTAATCGGGTTATTGACACCAGTATTCTCCTTTACTATAAATGTACACAGACTCACCTTCTTCTGTGACGCTGTCCACCACTGAGCCAAAAACCAGGATGTCTGTGCTGCCATCGGTACTTCCTCCCAGGCCACTGTCACTGCTGAGACCTGCGGGGCCAAGCATCGCCAAGCCACGGACACGTTAATCATTACACAGCACATACTACACTACTCATGCACACACCGCCACCATGATAGGACTGTAGAGCACATAGAAAACATGCCAGAACCTCAGATTGTGGGCTATTTTTTCACATAAGGAGCTCTTACCTACAGCTTACTGAATCTCTACAATAATTTTGCATTGTACCTTGATGAACTAACTGTGTAGCAGACTTACTGCGAGGACCAGAGCCAGTGTCGAAGTAGGAAAATAGTGAGTCGAGCTCATCTGGGCAGAACAGCGAGTCCCGGCGAAACTTTGCTGCTGCTGCTGCCACAGGACAGAAGATCACAGGATGTCAGTCTGGGCTACATAGTGTATGTACATGCTGCAGCTCTTGATTTCCTGAGTCCTGAGGTAAGGTTTACAACTACAAGGGGCATGAAACCCATCATACTTCAAACAAAAGTTAACTCCCTCCACTGACCTGCTGAGAGGTTTGCAGGTGAGGCGCTGCCTGGCTCGTAGCGGTGGTATTTCCTGCGGGCTTTGCTGGGGGCCCGAACAGAGCTGCTGTGTCGCTGGCACTTTTTCACTGTCCAGGGCTGCGACTTCCTTTCACCCTCCACCAGTGCCTCACTTCCACTCATTTTCTTAAGGAAGCGTTTCTCCACGTATTTGGACTTAATCCAGGCTTCCTTCTCCTGTCTGGAGAAAGGCGATGACAAAGTGACAATGTTGCATCATTGGAAACATGATATAATCAGATGACTGGGCTGAGTAAGGCAGTGAAATGGGACGGTGAACACTGAAAGCTAGATGTTACCTGACATCGTATAGATCAGTTAGTGGAGACACCTATGTTAACCTAACTGACCTCAGACATGAAGTGCCAGAGGTGTCTAACAGTGGAATACCAGAAGAGAAGAAAATGTAAAGACATTTGTTTTCTTTTCAAATGCTCCTTTTGAAGGAAGAAACTGACCTTGAACTGGAGGGTCCAGGTTTTTTTGCTCCTTGTTCCTCACAGCCTCCCTCATAAATTTGGTTGATCACAGTGTTCCCCAGTTCACACATCAGCTAAACGAGAAAAAGGAAGTAGAGAGGACAAAGACGGAAGACAGAGGCAGAAAGGGAAAATATGTAAAAGTCCAATTTGTAATGCAATGGAAGAATAAGCAAAACAACTGTGGTGAAGATAAAGCACAGTGCAGAAAGGACGAGTTGTAGGCAGATGTGTTGGGAGACACACACCTTGAGTAACTCAGGCTCCCAGGAGTCTAACGTCAGTGAACGCACTTTAGAGCAATGGACGCCTAAACTCCTGAAAGGAGAAAAAAGACAGAGATATAACATTATATACAGCAAGTGAACTGTATGAAAAGTTTGTTAATACAAGATTTTAGCACATTTTTACAATTCTCCCTGAGTTGTCTCAAGCTAGTGACAAACTTTTCTGTTTCTCTGCACTCCAGGGACTCCACAGGTCTCTTGAGCTGAGCTAAAAGGCTGGTGGTTCAATTCCTGGTCTTCCCATTTTGAAGTGTCCTTGGGCAAGACACTGAAGCCCTAGTTGCCCTTGGTGGTGAGACAGCAACTGACAGTGCCGCCATCAGTAAGACATTTCCCCACAGGGATTAATAAAGTATAATAAATTAAAATGTAGGGATGCTTTGAGTTGGTTAGATTCCTGAAACAACGTCATTAGTTAAAAATTATGCTTAAGTAATGGATCTGCTACTGGTCTTCCCTCATTCTCTCTGAACAAACACGCTCTTGGTGTAAAGTGCAGTCACCTGTGGATTCCTGAGCACTCAATGCATAGCAGCACACCCAGGTTGATGGAAGCCCAACAGGGAGCCGTCTGTCCGCAGTCACAGCACAGTTCATTGCCTGGCAGGCTCTGTACCCTCTGTAGAAGGCTTTCTCCCCCTCCCCGAATCCCTTTCTCTGCCCTCTCCCCCCTTTCTCTTGGTTCGCTGGCAGAGTCGATGCTGCTTGTCGAGGGCGAGGCTGTCCGGTCCAAGCGCTGCAGAAACACAGGGGACAGGTCAGAGATAGAGATTCTGCTCCAGGGACCAAATTCAAATGAAAAGAAATGAAATTACTCTATATGTACACAAGTGCACTCGTACCTCAGTGTAATAGTTGTCAGCAGTGTCTTTGTAAGCAGAGGCAATGCTTGCCTGGACTGCCTGGATCCAAGCCTGTCGCAGCTTCTCAGACTCAGCCTGGAGCATACAGCTCCTACAGGTTTCAGGAGAATCAGAATCAACTTTATTGGCCAGATGTGTTGGACACATGAGGAAATTGACTCTCAACGTGTATGTACATGCAATGAATATATTGACTTTATAGAAGACATTTATATAATGCTTTTAACTGTCTAATGTCAAACAGTCTGTGTGATTCAAAATGACGCAGCCAAGAATGTCTGGATTAATTAGCAAAGTAAATATCTGAAAAGATAAAGAGACACACATAAACACTTACTTAGTGGGTGAAACCACCTCGAAGCAGAACCTCCTCTCATTATCTTCACACGGCTTGACTGAGCACAGCCTCAGGTCTTCTACCACAACTGTCAAAGAGTCCTGTCATTGGCAGAGAGGACACTCTTGACAACTTTTCCCAGTTTACTGTATGCTACACAAAACAGATTAGCCTCACTGTAACTGGCAAGGAAGAACCAGTCGGTACATGGCTCCTTTCCTCTCTGCCAGTATGAAAGCTATTGCCTGAATGATTAGATTAGGAACTGTCGACTCTTCATTTCAGTGACAGAAAAATCTTTGCATTTTAACACAAAAAATAAAACATTTTTTATTTAAATTCACAAATTGTACCTTGAGTTTCTTTTGGTAGACTAGCTGGCTGTTCTGTATGGAAAACCACCTCCTGGATGGGGGAGAAGGTCTGATATTAGTCTCCATAAGTGAAACATGATCAATCAAAAGTGTATTAGCTGTGATAGGGAAAAACACTGTTCACCACAATGGCAACTAATAAATCTATAAATATGAGTGACTGCTGGAATAAGGCAAAGGTCAGTGTGGAGCATTAATCTTTAGGTTATGATTCATCCTACACAAGACCAAACTTCATCCAGAACCTTCTGAGAAATGTGTGATATTTTAAAATATTCTAATAAAATTTGACAAACCATCCTAATAAAATGCTGTCATAGCTAGAGTTCCCTGATTTCTCTTATTATCTAACTTCAATTAGACTTTTGAATTATAAGTTGACTCAGAATCTATTATGTACTCTCTCTTTATTTTTTACTTCTTTTTTTACCTGTTCCAGGTCTTGAACGCATTGCTGGCCCTCTTGAAGAGGTAGCCCTCCATGACCACACCATTTGGTGCATCCACATTGAATTCCAACTTGGGGTCATCATAGGAAAAGTCCTGTGGAGAGAAGACATATGTGACAAATGTTAAGGTTTGGCTTCTTTTTCATCGTGTGGTTAGTGGTTTCCAGCCAAACCAGTGCATTGATAGAGCTATGTTACCATGTTCCTGTGAATAAAGTATGTTCTGCTGCACTGCAGGAAAAACACTGGTGCCACCATCAAACACAACTAATGTCATCCTTTCAACTCTAAACACCATCAGTTTCACAGTGGCTCAGAAAAGAACGGCCTTAATGGAGCAATTGTATAAAGACCAGGTGAGGTGACGCCTTGGAGTCTGTCTGTGTTCCTTCTCTAAAATCTAGTCTCTCCACACCGACCATCTGTTCATTAGTTTAAGCCCATCTCAAATGGGGCGCCAAGACTAGTTTTCCCAAAACTACACCAACATCCCGTGGGCTACATTCGCTGTTATTGGGTGAGCGGCAAAGGTGAAGAGGTTACAGTTCTGTTTTAAGGGAAACAGGAAGATGTGCGCACTACATAAAGCAGTGCTAAAAGCTCTCATGAGGAGAGGAAAGTTTCAGATAAGGAATTTCATAATGAGTAAACAGAGAAATAAGAAAAAACAAGGAAGTGAAGAAGCAGGCTGAAGGGCAATTGGCAGTACAAAATTCAGCAAAGGTTGGGAGATAACTGATTACTTGAAGTCCACAGAATCTCCACACACACTTGAGGTCTAGTCATTATACAAATCCAACAGCCCTGTGCAGGTTTGCCAGAACTTACACGTTCAAGCATCACAAGTAACGACAGCATTGCAACTATTTGACAATATGAAATGAAAAAGACTAAGTGACTAAAGAAATGATTGACTGCATTTCTATATTTCCACTGTACAAATATTATGCCGATAATACTTTACAATACGGTACACAGAAATGTGCGTAGTTACTAGGAAACAAGTGAGGAACAGTTTGCATCATTCGTAAGTAGACTTCCCCAATAGCCTCTCATGTAGGACTCTACATTAGTTACTAGAAACCCGACACTACTGTATATCAGTGAATCATTAGTTAATGATTCATAATTATGTATATTAATTAAATCATAGTCCCCAACTTTCTTTATGACTCCTTCTTGATTACCTGTCATTCAAACACTGTAGGGCCCAAAACAGAAACTACTCATTCATTACTTATTACTTAATCATGTTACTTTTGTGAACTCTTAATACTCATACTGTACTGTACATCATACCGATTAGTAAGCCTACAGAAGTATTCCCTTAACTTTCTCTGTTGTCACTCAGTAGGCCCTCATTACTTCATGATTGTCAATTTCCCACCAAGGATCAATAAAGTCTTATAATTATCCTACATTTTGGTTTATATATCTGATTCTGAAAAGTAATTAGTAACTAAAGTTATCAAATAAATAAAGTAAAAAGTACAATACTTGTGTCTAAAATGCAGTGAAGTCAAAGTATGAAGTAGGAGAACATTTAAATACTCAAATAAACTACCTCAAATTTGTACTTAAGTAAATGTACTTAGTTACTTTCCACCTCTGCACATGACCATCGCTTTCCTGGAAAAGATCACAGAATAATTCCTTGTTCTTTTCAGAAAACCCCACTGCCTGTATAATTGCACACTGATGTCATGTACTTTGCGGCATTTTTACTTTGTTGAAAGTATCAAGGTTGTTTCAAGAATTACAACTAGTTCTTTTTTAATTTAATAACACCAGAAACTTCAGCTCAAACTGATCATCTTGGCTGCTTTGTGTAGCAACATGGTGGGATACTAGGACAAAAATGCCACAACAACCTGTGTGTTACAGGGTTTGTGTAAAAACATTCAGGTGATGTGTAGCTAAAATGGGATGGGACACAACACCTGTCTCCTGACTGGCTCAAAGCTTCAGCACCATGGCTGCCTGCTACATTTTACAAACAGGTCAACGGACAAAAAAAAGCTAATTTTCATCAAATGTGCAGAAAAGACACAGATTAAACAGAGTGGCATCAACGTAGTTGGTGGCAAATTGAAGAAAAAACATCATAGAATGAACAACAGACCTTTTAGAAAAGTGTCTCCAGAACAGTGCTCCTCTGTTGGAGGGAGGAAACAACACTCGTCTTGTGTCCAACACACCTTTTTATACTCACCTGGAGAAGCAACAGCCAATCAGATCATTGGTAGAAATCTACCCACCAATTATTTTGAAACAACAATCATCAACATCAGTGTGAAGAATTGATGTTTCTATTTACATAAAAAACGAAACATATTTGGATTTGTTGACACAAATTGTGTCATTCTGTGAATAAAAAGATAAATCAAATAATGGAGAAATCAAAGATCGAGAAAATAATTTAATCAGTGACCCCTGCATTTTTTAAAATTTCCTCATATTTAATTAGATTTTAATTTAATTGATTTGACTTCCTGACTTGTAATTACATTTTTCTTTTAATTTGCCACCCATCTCTACATGAAGAAACAACATGTTAGTATCTGACATATTTTCACTATAGTGTCTAATAGCATCAACTTCAGCCTAAATGATTGCATTGGAGCTCTTCTATTAAATAAATAATGTAAAAGCTTAAATGTAAAAATGACAGTTGTCTCCATGAGTGGGACCCACCTTTGAAAACAAAATCAGCTATATAAAACAGAGACATGATCAAATAATAAACGCTCCTCACCAGTTTATAGACCAGCCTGCGAAATATCTTCATCTTAACCATACGGGCATCCAACAGCATTTCGAATTCAATAAATAACGTAATAAGAGAAAAGCGAATCAGGCGGTGAGCATCTCTGCCTCTCAGGTGGTGAACTGGGAGCAGCAGACGGAGAGACGCTTACGCATCAGTCCAGATGAGCGCCGGTCCCCCGCTCGTGCCGCTCCTCTATACTCCCGCCACCTGCCGACCGGATCTGGCGCGAGAGCTCATTATCATACAGCTGTCCCGGAGTGCTCGTGCCCCGCTGACCCCGCGCGGCTGCCGGAGATCAAACGTTTCATTTCACTGCAGGCCGGACCGTGGCTTCCTCCCCGCCCCACACCGCGATTTAGGGCTCTCCTCTAACCCCCGCAGCTATTCTCCAACCCCGGGTTTCATCGTAGTTTTGAAGGAGACAGCTTTCCATCTGTCTGTGGTTCTGAACACTATTCCTGCTTAATCAAGCTGACATTATTGCTCCCCAAACACCAGCCCTGAGCCCCCCCTTCCCACCTTAAATTAGTCAGGACACTGGAAGAATGCAGCACAAGTGCCCAAAAGCACAGGGGGCTTTATCAAAATACACAGAGTACATTATAGGCCTGCTGCAGAACTGATCATTTTTGGATTAGACATGTCAGATACCTGTGGTACACAGATGCTGACTCAGAGAGATGAGTATTGCTGAGATAGCCTAATGTTGTAGTATACACCTAAAGATTTGGGCATCTCTTATCAACAACAGGTCAGGTATACAAATACAAACCAACACTTGACCAACACAGGAGGAATTACAGAGCCTGTAGGCTAGATGCTTACGTCTGTCCACCTGTAGTCAGTCTCTTCTGGGGTGTCATTTTTACCTGTATCCCATAGCAGAAGTGAAGAGAGAGCTGGGGGAGGAACAAGAGTCCCCAGCCTGAATTGTACCAGGGATGTAGGGATTACACTACATGTTCCTTTGACAACTAGGGACACCTCAGTAGCTGCCGTCCTTTATACACATTCACTGAAAGCCCTGGTCTTTCTGGTGGGCTACTCAAGCAATGTGAAACTGTTAAGGCTCACTAACTGTGACTTAACAGGCGAAGGTAACATTATATTAAATCCCTCAAATTCACACAAAGTGAATATAGCCTATAAAATATAGCCTATACTGATTTTAAAATGATCACTTTCTCATTTACCACAGTTTTTTTTTTACAGTACAATACTTAGTTTTCTCTCTGTTTTGTCTGTTTACCTCCCTCTGATTTCAAAACTTGTATAGCCAAAAACTGCAACAATGGAGGAGGAGAGAGCTGAGGTTACACTCCCCCTGGGAGCCACATTGAAGTCCTGCACACATAAAAAACTGCTGTGAAAGCACAGAGAGAGGCAAAAGACAGTGCATGTGAACTGCAGAGTGAGACTAGGCAACATAAAGATGGGGAGGGGGAAGCCGAAGCACTTACACATCTACCAAAACCAGGGACACTAAAGGCAAAGCACATACCGGAGGAAGAGAAGTGCAAGTACAGCACAGAGATGTAACAACAAAAGTCATTTCTCACAGCTGACTCGATCACTGATGGCTTTCATGTCAATGAGAATGTCATAAATCGCCCATTAAGATGTTTTTAACAGACACCAGTCTTTATCTTCCCGATCCAACTATTTTCATCATTTCTCTAATACTGTCATGTCATTCCCACTTCTGCACAGCTGTCAGTTTTTCATCTATCTGTAAACATTTGAAATGTTTTTATTGTTGAAAACGTCTTTAACATACAGTCTCTTGTATTTTATGTTCTCTGTTCCTCTCCTCCCAGTCAAAAATATCTTCCCCAGGTCTAATTTATCTTAAATTACGTTCATAGTGACACTATAATTTTCTTTCTCAGTATGACTACTGTAGTTACTTAATGAACTATTAATAAAGGATGCATACTATGTATAAATCACACACTCTGCCCTGTCATGGCGCTGTTTCCTGCACCTCTAAAAAAAACAGAAGTCAGTGTTCAGGTTCACAGCAAGTGAATATCTGTCTTCCTCTCTCTTCGAGATGGTTTAATAATAAGGAATGCTGTTCGACCCAACTCGACACAGCTTTCATATTTTCTAGTTAATTATTACCGTCTGGCTTTGATAATCATCTGACCACCTTCACAGATCGCCAGCTCCTCAAGAAGCTGGCGATCTGTGAAGCGACTTCCTTCTTTATCTGTCCTCTGCTCTTTGTCTTCTTCCCCCTGCTGTGCTGTGTAATGCCATCTGTTGACTTTGGCTGGAGCTGGCATCACGCACACTCAGCTCTCTCGACGCTCCAGTGACATACTGACCTCCCTGGCTCTGCAGTCACCAGAGCCTATGGTCGAGGACAACATCAGGGAACAGAGCCAGCTGTGTTCAGAGCATCTTACTACAGCACTGCTCCTGTGTGCTTATTTCACTGGATAAAAAGATTCCTTTGCTGACAAACAATGACTGGCAGGATTTGAAGACTCCAAACAACATTATGAAATAGCTGAGCCATTGATGGTCAGTTTTACAAAGCACAACACATGGTGATTTCATACATACTGTATAAAAGTGACATGTCATAGTAAAATGTCTCACCCTAACAGCTGAGATTTAGCCCTATAGTGTATTATACACTCGTCAGTCACTTTATTAGGTACACCTTGCTAGTACCAAGTCAGTGTAAAGGAATGGACATGGTCCGCGACAATACTCAGGTAGGCTGTGGCATTTAAAGGATGCTCAGTTAGTACTAAGGGGCCCAAAGCGTGCCAGGAAAATATCCCTCACACCATTACACACACCACCAGCAGCCTGAACCATTGATACAAGGCAGGATGGATCCGTGCTTTCATGCTGTTTACACCAAATTCTGACCCTGCCATCTGAATGACACAGCAAAAATCAAAACTCATCAGACTCTGCAACGTTTTCCAAATCTTCTACTGTCCAGTTTTGGTGAGCCCTTGTGAATTGCATCCTCAGTCTGATGTGCTTAGCTGACAGGAGTGGGACCCGATATGGTCTTCTGCCACTGTATCCTGTTTGAACTTCAGCAGATGGTCTTGACCATGTCTACATGCCTAAAAGCACGGAGTTGCTGCCATTTGTTTGGTGGATTAGATATCTGCATTAAAGAGCAGTTGAACAGATGTACCTAATAAAGTGGCTGGTCAGTGAACGACAGTGTAGTGACATATTGAATGTTGCATGATGTAAAACAAACAGATGCAGCAACGGATTAGCTGATCAGCATCAAATCAACTGTAGGATTAAAAGGGTCACAAGAACGAGGGAGAAATAAACATTTCTTGCATAGAATGAGTAGGCATAAATTACAGCTAAGGACAGAGAAAGAGTTAAAAAAATTGGGACAGCAAGAAGAGGAAAGAATAATAAAGCAGGCACGCTGTGTTATAAAGTATTAAGAAGATCTATGGTTCACTTTAGAACAAAATAATAACGGGAACTATTGCTTGAACACACACACATACACACACACAAGACATCATAACAAGGATGCTATTTTTATGCTTCTGCTTTGACAATTATATATTAACTGGCTTGCTGGCGTGTTGACAAGCCCTTGGGTTACATTTTGAGATGAAACAAACTGGAACAGCAAAAATAGCAGGAGGCTTATTTGGGAAAGCAAAGTTCTTCAGAAAGAGGGAGAGGTATGGGCAGCGGAGAGGGAGGTGTGTGGTAAATGTGAGCGATGGAGAAAAACAAAAAATACAGGAAAATAAGAGAGATCTGGACTGAGAGATCTAAAACTGCATCAAAAGAGAGTCAAAATTAGACTTGGTTTAGACAATGAAGGTTCGTTAGATGAGTACAAACAAGGTGGAGAAAGGAGCGACTGATGCACTTGATGGACACAGTGTCATGACAAGTAATGAAACAGGCAAACTTCAGTTATCCTAAAGACAAGATACCAAAATAAAAGCATAAAACCACTGGGCACAGACAGGCTCATGCTGGTTCACCCACACCAGCAGGAACAGACAGACGCCACTTAACAAGCAGCAGTTAATGGACAATGTTTTGTCTGCTGTGTCCGGTGATGCTTCCAGACAAACAATGACATACACGTCCCTCTTGCACACACACATTCACCCTTTAAAAGATAAAGGGATCGCTCTGTATGCACACAAACACAAACCCTCTTACACTAGAACAACCAGAACACCATACAATCTATTGATTCCTGCAATAGAAGCAGCATGTGATGACCATAAAACTGCTGTCCATACATCAGTCACTCAATCTGTTCTACGCTGTTTAACAGCTACCACACAAACACACACACAGATTGGTAACCAGGCATCTGCTCATCCACATTTTATGAGGTACAAAGTTGAAATTGGCGCTTAATAGTTTAATGTAAATACAGGAGCATTCTGACCAGGAAATGTAGTCAGAAAACTGACAAATTAAGTATTAAACATATAAAAATGGTCAAAAGTAAAAATATACTAACCTGGTAGAAAATGTTTATAATAAGTTTTAAACTTAAAGCTTTTGGCTTTGTACTGGCTACATGGTTGAAATGTATTATTTATTTGATGACAGGTATTGTGAGCTAGATTAACTGTCACTCAGACTGAAATTCCAAGGACTACACCTGACTCTAGTGCCAGTGCATATAAGGTAAAAACTTGGCCCAGATGCTGTCATACCTCTCCTCAACCATCATACAATGCAACTTTCCATCCACTATTTCAAAACCTTTTGGATGTTTTGCACCGTAGCACAGTTAATTTTGATCCAGGAAGATCTACCTAACACATGCTAACTGCAGTCTGTGGATAAATACTGTCTGAGATAGAAAGCAAAATATAAACTCACCTGCATCAGAGTCTGGAGGTAGAAGAACGGGATCAGCCAAGGGCACATAAGAAAAACAGAGGGAGAGAAATATATTAACAAACAACAGATCAGGACTCTTACTACACTCAGTGTAAATGTGCTAATGTGACACATCATGTTTAATCAGTGTCATCATCCAAAAGTTCTTTAGACATCGGTATGTAGTAATTAGCTTCTCCTTTAACACACAGCGCCTTGAGGAAACTGCTGTTCTTTATTTCAGGGAAAGGCCCTTCTGTCGGTGACTTTTTATATAGAGGAATTTATATATGAATTGTGTTTACCTTGTTGTTTAAGCCTATAATAGTCAGAAATAAAGTCAGGAGGCATCATTCAAGTTTTCAGAATAAAGACGGAGGGTTGCTGAAAGGCCATTATGTCACGCTCAAAGCTGTGCACCATGCCTGGCAACATGCCTCCACTTAAATGAACCAGAGGGAAGAGCTAAGTCGAGCAGAAAAACAGCTATGCTCTTGGCATCCCTTCAGGTAACAGATGGATGATTTCTGTGCATCTGTGCATGAGCATGAGTGTTGGGCAAGGCAAAAGTTTGAAAAAACAGTTTTTATTAAGCTAAGCAACCCATAAAATAAATATATCAAACTGTCTTTATGGCTTTACAACTTTAAAAACTTAATTGGAGCTGGAATAAACAAATACATTCAACAAGATATTACGATAATTCAAAGCTTCCATGGAAATCCTTTTTGCAAATAATATATTTGATGCTAACATAAGATGAATAATCCTGACATCACTGTATATTTCAGTACTAAGGGGGAAGGTACAGTATTTTGTCATCTAGTTTGACAACTTTCATAATCAGCAGTTAGCTAACTGTGTAGCAAACAAAGAGTCTGGCTGTGTGTAGATGACGAGAGGAGGTGTTGTTGTCTCACTCTCTGCTGGATGAGGGCGTGTTTGTGTTCCATCTCCCGCTTCTCTATGGCCGAGTCGATGACCAGCTGGTCCAGCTGCACAGAACAGGAGACATCAGTGTCACTGAGGCAGGTACATGAAACTGTGAGCTACTGGAGAAGTTGTTGGATTTTGTGGTACTAAACCTCAATAAATCATCTAGAGCAGTGGTCCCCAACCCCCGGGCCGCGGACCGGTACCGGTCCGTGGATCAATTGGTACCGGGCCGCACAAGAAATTATTAATTATTTCTGTTTTATTTATTATCTGAGTATGAACGATCTTTTATTTTGAAAAATGACCGTATTCTCTCGGTTACATCTTGGTCACTTGAGCGCCAAAACTGGCTTACTTGTGGACATATTCAGCCTGCTCAATGAACTCAATCTGTCACTTCAGGGGAAAATGACAACTGTCTTCAAGTTGGCAGATAAAGTAGCTGCATTTAAAGCCAAACTGGATTTGTGGGGACGGCGCGTCAACAGAGGCATTTTGGACATGTTTCAAACATGAGACTTTGGGTGAGACTGAGCCTGAGTCTTCATTCTCCCAGCTGGTGCACGATCACATGTCTTTGCTTTTAAAAGAGTTCGAGCGCTACTTCCCAACCACAAAGGACCCACGAACTGCCAAGGAAGGGATCCGCAACCCATTTGTCAACAAACCAGGTGAATCCAGCAGGTCTGTGCAAGAAGAAGATCAACTGCTGGAGATCGCAAATGATGGCGGCCTTAAAAGTATGTTC